TTAATCCATGCTGAGTTGTTTTTTGTATAGGGCATGAGGTGAAGGTCTTGTTTCAATCTTTTGCATATGGCTTTCCAGTTCCGCCAACATCATCTGTTAAAGAGACTATCTCTGCCCCATGTAACATACCTAGGCACTTTGTCCAAAATCAGTTGGCTGAATGTGGATGGGTTAATTTCTGGATTCTCAATTCGGTTCCATTGATCAATGTAGCTTTCTCCTGTGGAGCTGTTGGGTAGTTCAAAGCACCAACGTTTCAGTTAGCAGCTGAGCACTAAACAGGGTGCCACCCTGCACCCCTTCCCTATAAATACTAAACGCAGCTGCCATGGTTCCCCTGGCTGCAGGCTCAGCACTGCAAACGAACGAGTGCAGGCACAGGGCCACCAGCTCTGGTCTCAGCTCTCGGCTAGTCCACTGAGCTGGAAGCAGGGCACTTAGGCCACAGCATCCTCCTGGGCACCGCCACGTCACGCAACCTAGGTGGTCCAGGCCCCCACTGTCCTTGAGCAAAGTCCTCAGGGAAACCTTAAACAGCTGCCCAACTGAACACCCACCAGCTCTAAGCCTGGATGCCGTGAAATGAGTTCTCTGCACTGTAGCCAGCCATCGGGCTAACACTTGAACTGCAGAAAGTCCACCTTTAGAACATTTACTTGGTGAAAATATTTCTTGGACAAATAAGTAACACGTTAATTTCATTGTCATGAGGAAGAAATCACTGCTTTCACTGAAAAACGGAACTTGATTTCCCCTAATACATTTAAGAAACAAACAACTGTTGTTTTGTAACAAAGATATAAACTGGAAGAGGTTGAAAGGGTCAGCTCTCCTGCCTGGGATTCCCCCCGGAGGTCGCTCCCCATCACATCCTGCCCCTAAAACGTAACGGGTTAAGTCGATTCTATTTCATTCTGACTCCTGAGGACCCCTTCAGTGTGTCAGAGTAGGGCTGCGCACTACAGGATTTCAGGGGCTGCTTTTGTGGAAGATTACCAGGTCTTTCTTCCAAAGCACCTCTGTGTGGATTTGAACCGCCAATCTTTCCTGCTGTAAGCTCGCCTGACATGACTTGTAGGTTATTCCAGCATCCTCGTAGAACCCAGGTCTTAACCTAATCTCTGCATTTAAACTTGATTGCACATGTGTGCTTGACTGACCAGACTCCCTTTCCAAGACTTGCTAGTTTACAGAGTCCCTTTAGCCCCTAACCTTCCTTACCTGCCACAAGGCCTCAGTGAATTTCCATGAAGATGTGTATGTGCAC